TGATACACCGTAGAGAAGAAGAAAGACCTGCTGATATAAACAAACCACAATAGCCGGTGTTTCATTCACTTACAGCGAGAAGCTCACGGGGCCTTGAATAGTTAAATGAAATCTCAGATTTGCCTCTTAATAGTTTGTTTGGGTCCCTCCATGCCGTTTCGCTTCTCCTGCACTGTTCGCAAGCTGAACAGCAATCAGAGTGATTTCTTTTGCTGACTGCCTTTGACCGACTGCCCGCCCGATTCCAACATGTTGAATGTGGGTTTCGGCCGAAAAGGCGTCGGCCCGGCTAAAGAACCAACGGTGCGGGACACACCAATCTGAGTAGGGCGTGTCAACCCTTCAATCGTCGCCCTGCGTCCACCCGACCCGATAATCGCCTGGTGTGTCCGGGCCTTAAGAGGCTTAGCTTCAACTCGCCATCCACTACTAACAGGTCCCACATCAAAGACAGACAAATGCCTGCACCTGTCACACATGGCAGCCAGAACGGGGAAGGAAGAGAGCGACTTGCGCCCTTTCTCAGTCCTTTTGGAGGCGGGTTGGAGCACCTCGAGAAGAGGCTGCACCTGGAGGGGAGACATGCAGGGGGAAAGGAGAGGACACACACAAAAAAACACACACACACGCAGCCGCACGCACCGCACGCACGCAACAACACGCACGACACAAAGAACACACACACACACACACACACACAAGCACCCACTACGGCACGTAACAGTCACACATACAAATATGTGTGTACCTACAAATTCAGAGCTTCATACAATTTGCTTTAAAGCTGCATCACTATTCTTTGAAGGAATAGGCTTATTCAAATGCTGAGACACAAAGAGGTACACGAACAAAGACACACCATCTGGGTGAGTTTAAATGACTGGCATTACGTAGCCACAGATGCCTTTGTTTTGGATGGCAGAAAGCCCCTGCTTTAAGACACACAAACAAACATATAAATAATACCAATCGAATGAGCAGAGGCATTGCATAAGGGAGTTTTTATGTTTTTGATATGTATCCCATGTGGTTTGTAAGTCAGTTAGGTGTGTGGAGAAATGAGAATGTGATGGGAGACAGACTAGTAGGTCTAATGTCGGTAAGGGTCAAGATCCAAAGAGTCTCAGAGGCCTGGGGGTCTGCCTCTGGCTGGACAACACATCATCAGTGTCAGACCTAAAAAACCACACACACATTCATATGGGGAAGGATAAACAGGCAAACATTCATGCTTTCCTACAGTACATGCAGTTCGCGCCTGGGCCTCCTGCTCTAGCTTTCTTATCTTACACCTCTGGGGGGTCGGAGCAAGGCTGTGGGAGACACACACACACACACACACACACACACACACACACACACACACACACACACACACACACACACACACACACACACACACACACACACACACACACACACACACACACTGCCATGCTCTTTTGCTGTCCTCTGAACACAGCTGTGTTGTTTTAGGCCCTGACAGCAGCCACCTGATGGATCATTATGTATGGTAGATGAAAAGAGCGGACCATAAACATTAGCACGCTACTTACCCTACTTGAATCTGAATGTGTGAACACACACACACACACACACGCACACGCACACGCACACACACACACACACACACACACACACACACACACACACACACACACACACACACACACACACCCGTTTTGCCAAATACCTTCTTTAGCATCTGCTTACTGCTTACACTCATCATGCATCTTAAGATATCTCCACGCCACATAATGACCCCTGGCTCCCCAGCCTGAGGTTGACACTCACCACACCCAATTCAATATGTTTCCTGTTTCAGGGGTCATTACCATGTTTAACGCACCTTGGATACAAATCTGGTGTGAAAATCTATGTGTGTACAGGGTGGCATCTATCAAGCAGGTGATTTGTAATGTTAAGCCATTCGGATTGATTGTTTTGGGGGTTAGGGAAAAATACTTTCGTGTTTTATTGAATGAATTTAGAGTCATGCAAGGAAATATTTGCCTGATTTTGTTACCATGACCTTGTTATTTGTGATAAAGCTCTTATCCATTTGTGTGTGTCCCAGGTCAGACTGGATGACCGTGTTGTACACACAGATCGAGGTCTCCTGATTCGCTCCCTCCAAACCTCTGATGCCGGTGTGTACGTATGCGTTGCTCAAGAGCACACAGACTTCACCCACACTCTCCTCCGTCTCAAGCTTCAACTCGTTACAAATGGACAACTGGATGGAAAGCCCAAGCCCAGTGAAGACCCTGCAGTGGAACTACGCCACGGCGTGGATTCCCGGCAGCACTATAAAGACTACCTGAGAGTGATGAGCTCCCCCTTCGGCTCTCTGGAGGAGTACTGTGATTCACTGTGGCTGGAGAAGAGGCCAACAAGAATACGGGGACGAGGCTTAGGAGCTGGAAAATGGAAACATATACAGGAAATGAAGAAGAGCAGGAACAGGAGACAACACAGAGAGAGGGAGGAAGAGCGGGAGCGAGGGAGAGTGGTGAGGACAGCAAATCAGTGAAGGGCGTGGTAAAAAAAAACATTCAGGGTTAGTTGTCTATTCTTGAAAAAGCAGAACGTGACACAGAACAGATACATTCATAAGCAAGCAAAATCTAAGCTTGTTTATATGGTGTGAAAGACCAGTATTAATTTCAACGAGCAAATTTAATAAGTATTAAATGAGCGAAGAGAAGTAGCTGTGTATACGTCATTTCTTTCATCTGCTAACACCTGTTCTGTTGTAGAAAACATGCTTTTAAAACCGTCATTCAGACTGAATGACCACATTTTTGCAATGCTAACAACGTTGCTAAGTTATCTATCAACTTCTATTGCAGCCACAGTGATTATGGAGATAAACTGACCAGATGAAGGATTGCAACATTAATGCCATTTCCTTCAGTTGCCACTGGCAAAATATATCTCCCAATCATACAGACTGAAGCATAATGGAGGTGATCCTTTGACCTTTTCCAAAATTGCTGAGATTAGAAAAAAATAAAAGTAACAGACTTTGCTTTTGGTGATGACGATGGATTAATGTTGAAAGACTGTAAATATTTATATACCATGTACAGGAGATTTGGCATGCTGAATTTAGTCTCATTACTGATTGACATAACTATGATAATCCTGTATTATGCTTGAGCTGACAAAATGTCATATTTTTGTACAAACTTTTCACTCGTATATACAGTACTGTAGATTTGATAGTTTTTCTTAATTGCTGAAAGTTATTTAAATAAATGTTCTTGGAAACTCTGTGACCTGAATGCTTGCTTACTTTGTGTGAAGAGATCAAATCAAAACACAGAAAATCGATGACTGTAAAAATGCAGTCACAGGCACTCTTGGGCAAACAGCAGACACGGTGGAGAATGGACTAGGGTTGGTTCAGCTGAGCCTCTCCTGATATAGCATCACAAGTCCCTGTACACTGTATGCAGGACAATGATTCAGGACCAGCTGGTCTCTTGTATAGTGTGTGTGGGCAACTGTGTTTGTGTGAAAGGGAGTACGTGGACATTTTCAGGAGAAAACGTGAAAGTCTGTGATCAAACTAAGACATTTTCATAAAAAAACTGATAATACTGTAGGAGCCATTTTATGGGTGTTGTTGGCGTGTCAGTTTACTTTATTTATATTTATAGTGCAATATTATTTGAAACACTTGGTGGCGGGGGTTAGCTGCACCGGGTGTATAAAAGGGGTCATAGGTGACTGGAAGAGTGAGGACACAGGAGGAAGAGCACACCAATCTAACTAGCCCGGCAGATGCTCAAGATGCAACCATTCACTCAGTAATTAAACCTTGGTAATGTAAACTTTTCAATAACATCATTCTAAACTGTGCCAAAGGACCGGAAAGCATCTGTTATGTGTCTGTGTCTGGATCACTCATAATCCTGTGAAGTAATGGCAAAAAGAATATAGGACATTGGAACAACGAAATTGCCATTACTAATACCATTCAAGTTGCTTGCATTTAATGCTGACAACAGTATGACAAAGATTTCTCTGTAGAGCTCTAGTGACACACACATATACAGTAAATGTATAGTCTACATTCACTGTCGCACCTGCAGTTGGTGAACACAAGCCTACAAAAATGCTAAATGTTAAGTAGTTACACCAACATGGGTTGAGGAAGAATAAAGCCATCTACATAAGGATACATCAACAACAAACTATTGTTTTCCGTTATTAATAATAGGTTTGATGCACCACCCAACCACCACCAAACAACAATCCAAATGAAACTGTTTCAATACTACTATACTTTCTATGATGCCAAAACAATTTTGATGGCCCAAATACATAATGGAGTATTACAAAACAAATTATAGGTTATCAACTTCATCCAATCATATTTTGCAGTATGCAAGCAAACATGCTTTTCTGGCTATTCTGACCCACAACCCTGATATATGACCAAGAGGGTTATAGACTAGTTCAAGGCAAAATGATATGACCTATTATTATGTCCCAATTGTATGCATACTGCATGCAACAGTGCATACTTTGTTAAGGCAGCTGCATAGTACTGCAAGTAAAAAATAAAAATAATGTGATATGGAACCAGACACACCTGACAGGTGCATGCTGGCTGTGTTCTTTGTCTAATTGTCTCAGATGTGTCACTTTTCTGGTTAATTATTTTAAGTTATGCTAGGAAATGCACTTGTGTATTTGAAAAATTGTTGTTTGGGTTTGAAAATAAGTAATAGTGGTTTAATTTGTATATCAAAATAGTTTGTTGTAGCCTACATGTCTTCTTCTGGGTATCTCATATATTATGTTTATTCTTATAAGAATTGACATGTCACAATCAGATTGTTTTTCTGATTGTCTCCTATGGTGCAGCCAATTTCTGACACTGATCCCTCCCGCTATATGAAGACTATAAAAACATGTTGCTAGTTAGCCTTTGAATTATTTTTCTGATGTCATAGGCCTCCTCAATTTTTGTCTCTATGGTGAGGCTTGGCATGTTGTTTCCTTACATTTTAAAAATACCAGCATGCACCTAATTTCCTTGTACTGGCCCTATGCACACAGTGAGGACTGCCTAGACCGGTCTCTCACTTTGTGTTTCTCTACAGTGATTTCTCCACGTTTCTTATAACAAAGACAATAAATATTTCAACACTGCCTCCTTGTCTATAGTTTATTTATCAGTCAGCAAAGAACAAACTACATCTTCCCAAAAAAGGAAACAGCATAGGGACACCAGTAAAGCACGAGAACAGACTTTAGCACAGTATTACTTAAGAAATCAAATACACCACGAACGGTATACGTCTCTGAGTAATGTGCATTTAAAATAAACTGAATTAAATGTTTAGATTGTAATCACAATTTAAATTTTAGAGAAGCACAGTTCAAATGGCATACATTTTGTAGAAATAAATGTACTCGCAGCAATGTTTTGGCTAAGATCAGTGTTGTTTGCATCCTTTGCATACACATGAACAATTCCCCCATCTGCCTCTCACTTTCATCATGGGATAAAGGCAGAGGATATTTACGAAAAATGGCCAAGGGAGAAAAAAAAACGTAATTTCAAAATGAAAAGTTAGAGAGATGATGAAAACTTTAAGAGATTGAAAAAGGTATGAGAATGTACCAAAGGCATTAGCAAAGCATTGGCCGTTGGTAAAGTTAGAGACGTCGGTCACGTTTATGCGTTGTTTCCAGCACGGTCCTCACTGTCTGCAGTTCTCGCTGCTGCCAGCAGGCTCCGCCGGAGAATTTCGACAAAGTAAATCGCTCTTATTGGCTGTTCAGGTTAACCGAATCAGCGCCACATGGAGTCTCTTCATTTTTCATCTTATCTAAGCTTTCTAACACTCGGATATTTTCAGAACGACATGGGCATCGGAACTGAGGCGGTGAGTCAGAGTGGTGTGAACGTGGTTTGCATGGCTGCCTAATGTTGTATCACAAAATCGGCTTGTAGGCTATAGCTACAGGTCTTCCGGTTTCCAGCTGATATTACGCAGGCGCTGAACGCTAAAGCTGGCCCTATGTCCAAGGCTGTAGTCTTTAACATGTGTTCAAGTTCTTCGATCCTGGTTTAGTGGGAAAAGGTTGCACCAAACTGCACCTTATTGATGATGGCAACATTCACTAGAAAAGACTAGGCCCTACTTGTTGGTGATTTTGTTTTAAACATTGTCTGTAACAAGTGTGTAACAAGATGATTACAAATGTTAGGTTGTTTATCCAGTAACTTCCTATCTACATAATGTACCTTTGTTTTACTTTACTAAATAAGAGGTGTACTTTCAGGTGTTGTTTCCTTGTATGGAGCTTTTCCCAATGTAGGCACATTTGGGCATCAGGCAGTTGTGAATCAATAAATCAATCAATCAATGTTTATTTATATAGCCCAATATCACAATTGTTACATTTGTCTCAGTGGACTTCACAGTTTGTACAGAATATCAGTATGACAATACGACACCCTCTGTCCTTAGACCCTCACATCGTACAAGGAAAAACTTCCAATTGTTATTGTTGAATGAGTTAACCTGACCTTCACATTTGGCTGGAGAGGCACCACTGAGTAAAGATGACTTGTTGCAAGACAGGCAGACAGAGGCAGTGGGGGGTCCAACAAGGAAACTGATTTCAAGGAAGGAAACCAGATTTTACGAAAGGAAGTGCTTCATTTGATGTGATTGGTGTAATGAGCTGTCTGTTTAGGACCCCATGTAGTGTCCTTACAGGATACACAGACAAAGTCACATGCACATTATACTCCCTATTCAGTGTTTTCCCAAGCCTTGCAATCCATGAGGATAAATCTAAATCAGAGACAGTGAATGAGATTGGGGTTTTGGCCCAGGTTTGACACTGTAAATTCTGTGACTGAACTTTTGTGGCCCCGGTTTAAGAAGTGGTTGGTGTGTAGCTATTTTTGGATTTCCGTGTCAGGAATCATTACATTCCCGTAAAAAAAACATTGTTCAGTTAAAGCTGTGTCATATAGCTATAATTGTTATTCTGGGTCAGTTACAGTGAGTAAAACATGTCACAATAATTATCAACAGTATCTTTTGTTTGATGACACTTATAAATGACAATAAAGATAGTAATATCGGTTGACCTGAATTAGTCATTCTGTCTGCCTCTATCATACTGACACCAATGACCAGTTTAAGCAAGTATGTCCAGGTGCAAGAGTTTAAAGGTAAGGTATTTTCTAATAAACACTAGGTGTGCCACAGCAAACTTCCACAGGACCCCCGGAGGATCAAGATATCAAACACCATGACAGGATAGATGAGAAGAGAGCGGAATTGAGATGTCAGACCGGAGAGGTGTTCCTGGTTCAATATTACAGGGTATTTACGGCTGTGCAGATGTGTGTATTTGTCAGGTGTTGACAGTGAACTTCTGGGCTGGGCGGAGAGAGCCAAGTGTTGCATGGGAGCTGTCGGGCTGGGCGGTATTGATGGCTGCCTGGGGGTATTGGAAGGCAAGAGGTATGTGTGTGTGAGCTACAAACAGTTGTTCCCTGCGAGTAATGACTACTTGTGTTCTCTCTGCCTGATTTACAGACGTACATGATCTATCCTCACTCCTGAATTTTTGGCAGGACAGGCAGGATGCAGTGAATATCCTGAACACACCCTATGATAGATGTTTTCATTGGTTGTGTTTGTAGAGCTCCCTTGAAATTCCATGTAAATGAGATGACTCCTGTGAATGCTCCATACCCCGTCGTTGCGGATGCTTTGTAAATATGGTATGCACGTTTTTTGTGTCGGCTGTGGGGTCGTCGCTGCTGATTGGATATCGGGTGTCACTTGGAGTTGTGCATCCATGCATATCTGCTTTCACCGAGGTTTGGATCAGGCCCATGTTCTTCTCATTAGAGGTCAGGGGTTACAAGAAAGGCTGCTGGGCTCAGACATCTCTGGTATCAAAGAAGCAGAGTTGCAAGATACTGATTGTAATCATGTGTCGAGAGTCTCATCAAATATCAAACATTAAATTAAATGATATGGCTGTTGTTGTAGCCTTTCCCTACTGGGAAATGATAATGTTTCTCCAAAAAATGTCAAACATGAGAAAACTTCCTGATTATAAAAACAACTGTCTCGTTTTATTTCTGGTCGGCACATGCATTCAATGTGATGTTATTAACTGCTGTTGGTATGACTTTGTTGCTAACAGCAGTCAGATGTAGACAACAACCTATACAACTAAACAAATCTTACTCCAATCAAACCCTTAATAATTGTAT